TCTCTCTCTCTCTCTCTCTCTCTCTCTCTCTCTCTCTTTCTCTCTCTTGATCGATCGATCGAATCGAGAATACGAGAATATAATTTACGAATTAATCAGAGAATCAGATTTTCGACGAAGATCTAGATTTTGAATTAAATTTGATCTTGAAAAACTATAATTAACGATTGAATATTCTTGTTAAATTGCTGTTAAATTTAAAATTTTTTAATTTTTTTTAATTAGATATTAAAATTTAGTTAGGTATTCGTATTGGCCTCGAATATCTAGAACATTCCGGGGTTTCAAATGTTTCTAGATGTACCAGTTTACCTTGCAAAGTCCATAGTTCACAAATCCCTGTTTCATCTAGAACTTCTAGGATATCACTCGCGAAGCTTGACCTACATAGTCCTCGCTCATTGTGACAGCATACGTGTTAAGTCTTTGCCAACCACTTCAGATGTGCTTGACCGGCCATGCTTTAACTTGAAATTATGAAATTCTGAGTTCACCATATAACTTGAAAATAAAAGTCGGATTATTTTTACATAACTAGAANATATATTTTATGAAAAATTGTAAGGATTGGTTGTAAAAAATATATATCTTTCTAAATTAAAAATAATATTTATGTTAAGGCTCTTCACGTTCTTTGATATATTTACTTTTCTCGTGATCGGATTTCACAATGCATTTTGTTATTTATACGAATATAAATTTATCAGATCAATTTTGAATTCTTTATTAATAATCACGTTAATATTTGTATAACATTTTCTTAGTTCGTGCCACGCATCGCGTTTCCGTATGTAGCAGCATCGATATTTGCTATACAATTCTATAGTTTTCTGTTACTAAATAATCAAAAGAGCGTGTGCTTTATTAAGAACTCATTTCTAAGAATTTAGATTAAAGATTAAGAAATTCCAAAATTTTTTCTAAAATTAATTATAAATATAAATATAATTTTATAAAATATAATATAATGATAATACTAAATATAATACTAGAAGCCATAAAAATCTTTAAGACATTGAGATGGAATGTGATCCAAGAGAGGTTAGAAAATAGATTATTTATTTAGAAATGAACTCTTCGGATTCGATTCAATTAAAAAGATTGATAGATCTAAGAAGAAACGTTAGGCTAGATTCGAAATCGATATTTTTATACGAGAACAATTAAATTTCGTGGTTCCATGGAATGGCTGATTTAATAGTTTTGCCTGTATTGGAAATTATCGCGTTGGACGATCCATCTTGGTAGCTTTCACTTTCGTTCACACCAATCTCGCGTGATCTCGAAGCAATCTCCTCGACAGTGGCCTCTCCACAAATTATTGAGGATCTTTGGCCACGATTGTCCACATGAAGCTCGAATTATTTTAACTGTGACGTGGATCACGAGATTCGGGTCACGATTCTCCGTTTCCTGTGTCGCTTTCCGTCACGAGACGCTGTCTATACAATTTTTTTCTATCTCTTACCAACGATGATTCGTTAACTTCTGTAAACCGATTTATCTATCGTTTTATTAGACATGAATAAGTGAGATAAGATTAATGGAAAATTTATGAATACTTTAACGATTAAAAGTTTAAGGTTATAATTTAGTCCTAGTTTTTAACTTCAAAAAGATATAATATTCTCTGATTCTATGATTCATTTGTGAAATAGTTGCATTATTTTGTAAAGTTCAATTTATTTAACATTATATTTAATAATTAATCTTTTGTACTCTAAGTAAATGCATCATTAATTTGTATATTCTTTGATCTAGATTTAATTACTTTTTTTTAACGATTAAAGTTTGTTTTAGAATAGTTTTTTAAAGTTTACTTCAAAATAATACAATGTAATTCAATTTCTGTACAAAAACACGAAAGATCAAATAGATGATCACGAAATAAGTTGATTTCTTAAATATTTTTTGATTTGTTTCAAAATCGAAAGACAATGTATGGAAGAATTAGAATTAGAGTAAATATCCTCTCACGCATGACCTAAAAACTCTATCTTGGCCTATTGGATATATTTTAAAACCAGATGAGAATAAAAAAAATCGAAAGTAGATTCGTTACATAATCATTCTCAATAACCATGTAAACATGAAATTGAAACTATCTAGTTTTGTATTCTTTCTGCATTATAGTAAAATAAATATTTCTTATACATAGGTATCTACGTATATTATGAATCATCTATATCGATGAATCAGAAATGAATCAGAAATGAATCATCTATATTATTTCTCTAAATTATTATTTTATTATATCTATTTTCAAAAGCAAAAATTCAAAGTGTAAATAAATAAATCTTTGTTGAGATAAAAAAAATATTACAATTTGAAATTTAATTTATAAAAACAAAATTATAAAAATTATTTCTTTAATGTAAGCATTGCACATATTTTTTTTAATATTTTAATGA